ACAAAAAAATTAACACAAAATCATAGACTCGAATTTTTTGGTTTATGGCTACTGGGTTTTCATTATTATTGTTGCTATGTTATTTATAATTTGGATCAAAGGTTCCGTTTGCACTATTCCATATTTAGATTAGAATAGCAATAACTAAATATATTTTTAAAAATGTGTGTAAATTTAAATGTATTCACTGCTAATGATCTTCGAAATCGTAGTTGAAGAGAAATTGGGTATTTTTTTAAGACATTTTCATAAGGGATTGTTTTTTACGATTTCAAATTTCGACAAGATTCAATCGGCTGGCAAAAGAACATATATTATATGAATTTGAAGACTTAAATAATAAGAAAATATATTGACAAAATATAGCTTTTGTTGTTGTCGATGGCAGACATGATTGCCCATTATTTTTTTTTAGAAAATCGGCTTCTTCCAACCAAAAGCTAACCTGAAAACTATAGAAAATCTTCACCGATGGCATTTATGTTAATTCATACTATAGCTATATTGGTTAATAGTTTTTGAGTTATCGTGTCCGCAATCGTAAAACACTCTTTGCGAAGCATTTTTGCCTCACTTGATGGTGACACAATCAAGCTATATCTTCAGGTGTTGTTGAGATTTTAATGAGAAATTCATGAGAAGTTGTAGGTTCATATTAAATAAAAAAATCGTATTTTTGAAAACGAGAATTAGGTTCCCATTAAAGACTGTAAAATTCGAATCTAAATTTCCAACGGAAGTCGAAAAATTACATATCTGACTCTTGTATGAACTAGGACTATTAACTTCACACAAAAACTAAACAAGTGGAGGACCATGATGTCGACACAATGAATAAAAGTCAATCGGTGAAGAACTTCCTTATTTTTTAATATAGTTAGCGATAAAAAAATAGGCGAATTTTTGAGAGAAGTCAATAAAATTAGTTCATACTCTTTCTAACACCCTTGGAATTTCCGGATTCCGATGTTCCAGTGAGGATTTATCATGGGCTTTTCTTTAATCACCAAAAACAACAACAACAACAAATGTTGTAAATTATTTTTCTTCTCTTTTAAATCTTTAAATATATATATATATATATATATATATGCACGGTTACAAACCCGAACATTTACCAGCCCAATAAAAATCTTGAAAATTTAAAATCGAGAATGGGGGAGGTCCATCAAGTACGAAGATGGGTAATATCGGTCCACTCCTTCTCCATATTTAACATTCATTCTAATTCAGAGTTAATAATTATTGATGAAATGCATATTTAGCACCCATATGCGGATTCCCAAAAAGAACCGAAAAATATCCCACATTACATATCACAATTACAAATACTAGAGTTAGCTTAGAAAGATATATCCACTGACTGTTTCTTAAGGAACTTTAATTTATAGCACGTGTTAAATAGATCCTCCTCGGGGAAAACCTAAATGTTTATCCCACAATTAAATCAGACGAAAATATATATGGAAGCTATATCTAAATCTGAACCGATTTTCAAGAAAATGTACATACATCATTCTAGTCACAATTCAGTACGCTATGCCAAATATCGAGGAAATTGAAAGATATATAGGGACTTTGCTGCCACATTTACCTTAAATCGGACGAAAATATATATGGGAGCTGTATCTAAATCTGAACCGATTTTTCCCAATTTCAATAGGATTCGTCCTTGGGCCATAAATGAGACCTGTACTTTGTTTACAATTTAACATGAACAGATAGACGGACGGGCGGATATGCATATATCGACTCAGAAAGTGATTCTATGCATATTCTCAAAATGAACCATGGGTCTATCTCGATTATTTTTGCCTATTACAAACATATTCACAAAGACTTAAAACCCTGTACCACAGTATGGTGAAGGGTTTAAATACGTTAGAAATATAACAATGCGTACACTAATTTTCCATTTTTTGAGTTAAGTTTTGATTAGTGCTTTCTACAGCGTTTCTGTAAATTTGTGCACAGTTCTATGTGTATATCTTTATTTTTTTGGGGAAAAAGAAATCCATTAGGCCGGTAGTCGAAAATATCGATAAAATCGGAGAAATGATCGAAGCTGGATTCAAAAAGAAGCTCTATATTTGGGAGCCACACCAATTAATAGAAAAAATGATGGATCGAATTTGCATCTGCGAATGAGATAGACCCAAACGGAATGAGATAGACCCATTTCCTAAACGGACGGTGACTGGAGATGAGAAATGGATCACATACGATAACCCTGTGAGAAAACGATCGTGGGCAGAGAGCGGCGAAGCACCTTAAACGGTGGCCAAACCAGGACTAACGGCCACGAAGGTTCTGCTATGTATTTGGTGGGACAGGAAGGGGATTATTTGTTATGAGTTGCTTCCATATGGCCAAACGCTAAATTCTGATCCCTACTGTCAACAACTGGACCGTTTGAAGATAACAATTTCATCCGATTTTAGGTAATTGCTGCACCAAAGTCTCTGAAAATCATTCGATTTGCACGAAATTTGTTATAGCGTACTGATTTAAGTCTAGAATGACGTGTGCTAAGTTTCGTGAAAATCGATTCAGATTTAGATATAGCTCCCATATATATTTTCGTGCGATTTTATGCAATTGGTGCACCAAAGTCCTTACATATCTTTCGATTTGCACAAAGTTTGGTATAGGGTACTGAATTAAGTCTAGAATGATGTTGCTAAGCTTCGTGAAAAGATCCATAGGTTGGCCGATTGACACAACGTACTGAAGTAATATAAATTAGTCTCAAGTTTCCCTGAAATCGGTTCAGATATAGGTATATATAGGATACATATGTAGAATATACCCAAAGTGGTAAAGGGAATCATATACTCAGCCCAGTCCGACTTTACTACTTGCCTTACTGGTTATTAATATATTTATACAAATGTTTATTGGCTTTTGTTTTGATTAGAGTAATATTTCTATATTTAAACCTGTGAACGGAGCAGTATAATCGGTCGGGGCCGACCATACGATACCCTACACAACTACCTGGAAACTCTAACTTTCTGCGAATATTTATTCCGAGCTTGGGCAATATTTCGTGATATTTGCTCCCTCTAGACCGATTAGAGGTCAACAACACCTTTTCCTTACACTGACATATTTCCGAATATTACTATTCATATTCTAATTGTCCAGATTCCCCTCACCGTGGGTTGTGTTGTGATGTTTAGCTTATTATTGGCATCGACTCGAAAAAAACAAAAATAAATAAGTATTCGGTCCATTTCATCCCATAATTATAATCTGCCCATCACCGAAAGTTATAGGAGTTGTCCTTGATCATAACTGGAACCTCATGGAAAATTTCAAAGCGATCAGCGCTATATTTCCGCACTCTAGTGTGGTAATGGGTTACTAAATAATATCTGAGTACGTAAGCACCTGTAAATATTTAAGTGTAACTCCCACATCCGAGTACATACGACAATATAATTGGTATCAATTTAAAACCACTCCTCTTGGATATATTATCAACTTCTCGGGGTTTTGTCCTTAAGGAGTAAATATATACGCCATAAAATGCAAATTTTATGGCCCGATCCCCTTCTCAGTGTAAAATTTCACGATGTTCGGGCCATAATTGCGGCCTCTGGAGCCACCAGAAAAACCGACAAAAATTTAGTATTTGGTCCATTTCATCCCCTAAATATTAACCGATCTTTACCAAAAACAATAGGGGACTTCATTGGGCAGAACCCATCCTACTTGCAAAATTTCGTGAAGATTGGTCCATAACTGTATCCTGTTTACAAATTATAATGGACAGACGGACACACATGTCTAGATCAACTCAGCTAGTCGAGATATAACGATCGGTATACTTAAATGTGGGTCTAGGACCAATATTTCGCGGCGTTACAAACTCTTGGGGCTGCACAAAGCTATAATACCCTGACAACATAGTTGTGTGGGGTATAATTAATAAAAGGGATCTAGTGTAGAATGTATAAGGTAAAACAATTCGAATTGATATACGAAATTGAAACCATTCCGATCGGAATCTGTGACATGCCGGATTATCTGAGTGAATGGACAAATGATTTAATGAAATCATTTGAAATTTCAAAATATGTCAATCTAAGTCAAAATTGCATATTATATATTTTTTTAATTCCCGATATATTTTCCCCAAATAAGTTTGTGGTAAATAAAAAAAAACACAACGATTTATTGTTTTGAATTTTGTTTTTAAGATTTGTCATCTTTTTTGTTTTATATTTCTTTAATTCTTTTTCATTTCTCTTCAGCTTCATTCATAAATCAAAAAATAATTCTTATACGCTAACAAAATAATAATAAACATAATAATACTTAAACGGCTAATTGTTATAAACAATATCGATAATAATAATTAATAATAATGATAATAAGTTACACACACTACATACATACACATATTACATACATTACTTAATTAACTTAAAATTAGTTGCTACAGAAATAAAGAGAGGTTTTAAATTACAATCGCTATAAAGGAGAGGCGAGGGAGAGAAAGAAAATACTTTGATTTCAAACTTACAAAACTAATATCACAGTTTTAACAACGATTGTAATTTGCAATGGAAACGAATGCTATATAAATAGGAACATTTCTATAAATATTAATAATAGATTACAATAATAAAAAATTTACACTTTTTGTGGAATGTGGTGGTGGCTTTTTTTTACATACTAATAATACTTTTGTGTTTTCTTGTAAAGATGTACGATGTTTCCAAATTTTTTTGTGGAAAATAATAAATAGATGGGGCGAGGAGGGAGAGAGAGAGTGAGCAGGAATGTTGTGTTAGAAGAAAAAAATTTTTGTTTTTCTTTTACTGACTGGAATGACTAGAATATTATAAATATATTGGAAATCCAGAGTTGTGAAATGAATTTTTTTTTGAATACTTATAATAGGCGAGGCGGGTTGAGGGCTAGAGAGGGTGTCAGGGAAATCTTAACCTAAACTGTATTATTCCTACTTTTGGATTTTTTGCCTTTTCTACCTCTTGTCTGTTTAGCTTTGCCCTTTGTGGCCATGGAGCTTTTTTCAATTTCATTAAATTGTGTTTGCTGTTGTTGTGGTTGTTCAACTCCACTGGCAGACAAACCATTTACCACATGATTGGTTTTCAAGGCAACTTGTCCTCGACGTTTATTGAATTTTCGCAAAAGTTGTCCCATATTTTTCAAATATTCAAAATAATGGAATTTTACGAATTTCAAATCAATTGAATTGGCCGCCTGTAAATTGTGAGGATTATTGAGGACACCCTCTTTGGTCAGCAATTTAAGGCGTTTGTTCATTTCACTGCGTGTTATAACGGGCATTTGCAACGACTTATAGGGATGGGTCTTGTTGACGGCTGCCTCCAATTCGCACAACATGTTGCGTGAACTTTTCAACAATTCTTTCAGTTCCTGGGAGGTGCTACTTTCACGTTGTGATTTCGAATGATCGTAGGTGTATTGGATGCGGCGCAAATAGGCAAATGAGGCAACATAGGTTTGCATATTGCGATACCAACGTTTCAGGGCGATCTGTAAGGAGAAGAAGAAAAATGGAAATTAATATTTTTTCGAAAATGATTCATTGAAAAACAAAATTCAATACCATAAAAAATAGAAGATTTGAAATGCTTGGGAAATTTATTGATAAGATAATGTGGTGTATATGTGTAAATTTGTATGTCAAATATACACACAATTTGTTGTGTGTAATTGTTATTTTGCATGCACTATGGATGACTAATCGCTGTATTGTAGTAAACTTAATAGCTGTGGAAATTTAAACTATTGTCAATATTATTCAAGCATGATTTTTTGTAGATCAAAGTCCATTGTGGGGGATGAGTAGTCTGATTTTGTTTTTAATTTTTGTATTTACTAACATTACATGTCATTTAATGGAATTTCCGTTTATTTAGTATTGCAAAAAAAAAAATAATAAATTTCCCATGATGGCATGTCAAAACTTCTATTGGTATTTGAAATATATTTTTTTTTTGATTTTTTTAATATAAAAAATTTTAAAAATACTTACACTGGAATTCAATTTCAATTTTGGCAAGAATTTATATCTATAATTGTACAGTCTCCAGGTTGTGATATTACTAATATTAATATCCTGGCGGTGACTGTTGTTCAAGCGATTCAAATCATGAACGGCGGTATTTTTCAAAAATTTATAAATCTAAAAGTAAAAAGAAACAAAAATAAAAATTAGTAAAAAATAAAACAAATCAAAAATATTATATAAAATTATAAAAATACAATTAATTAACAATAACTAAAATTTATATAAATGAAAAAAAAAATTTAAAAATAAATTTTTGAAACATCCGATGTTGAAAAGAATTTAAATGAATTTCTTATTATGTTTTTCTGACTACCGACAATTTTAAATATTTGAATGAACCAAATTTGTTTTTAATTTGATATTCTTTTTTATTTTATTTTTTTAATAAAATTTCACATCAAAAAATTCATTTTTCAATTTGAAAAAAAAAAAGTTTTAATTTTATATTTTAATTTAGAAAAAAATTAATTTTATATTCGGAATATTTTTTTTAATGAATTTAATTTAAAATGTTTTTTTTTAAGTTTAAAAATTGTAGTGTCCAATTTTTTATTATTTTTAATTTATTAATACAATTTACAAATATTGAAAATTTAATTTTTTATTTATGAAATGTGTATATTTATGAATTAAATTTAAAACAATTTAAATGTTGATTATAAATAAAAAATTGCGGCACTCACATTTTTTAACTAAAAAAATTATTTTTTTCTAAAAAAAATATAATTAAAAATGTTTTTTTTTTTAAGAAGACAAATTTTAGTTAAGGAAAATATTTTATTTTAATTTAAAATACAAAAAAACGTCGGTTACAGTTTTAAATATTATTTTTGAAATTAACCTATGGAATTGTCAGCATTTATTGAAACAAATATTTTCTTTAATTCGAATTTGACAGAGTTACAAATATTTTATTTTTACGTTTTACGCCTTTTAAATTTTTAAATATTTTTTTTGTTGTTATATTTTCATATTTAAATTTAATGCTTTTTAATTTTTTTCCACTTTTAATTATTTAATTATTACTTTCATATTTAACTTTATAATTATTTCCCCCAATTTTTACCTTTCTCTGTTCCTGTTTACTGGGACGGCGAGTATTTTTGACATTTGGATCAAAGACACCACCACACGGATTATACCATTCCACAATGCTGGAATTTTCATTGAAATTATTGTAAATATTCCAATTGCTGTGACGTTTACGATGACGTTTGCGCAAACGCAAAGAATTGGGTGGTGAGGTGGTGCTGGCGGCTGTTGCTGATGATGATTCTCCTGCTGCTACCAAAGCGGCATTGCTATCATTTATTAGTGTATTGGCGATGGTGGGTGCCGCCGCTGTCAGACCCATGATCAACACTAATAAATTGACAATTGTAATCAATGATTTTAATGAAGACATTTGTATTCTTGTTGTTTGTGGTTTTGTGCTTTAGTTAAACTTTGCAACACACGTGACTTATGCAACAGTCGGTCAACATGTGGCACTTCCAAATAAAAATGGTATTTTAATTTTTTGTTGTCACTTTAATCCTTTTGGGGGTTTAATTTTCTTTTTTCTCGATTTTTTGTTATTTCACTTATAAGAAAATTAATTAAGTTATTGTGTTTTATTGATTTCCGTTTTTTATTGTTTCATGTGCTTGTGTGTTTTGTTTTTAATTTGATAATCCATACACTTTTTTCTTAACAATTTAATTGCATATCAATATATGTTTTTTATATTTCCGTTAGCTTATCTAAATATAGTCCGTTTAGTTGTTGCGGTTTTTTTGACTTGGCTCTTAGCGTCTTGTTTATATTTTTCTTTTTTGTTTTCAAACGGGCGAACGCATTCGTAACCGATGAAACAAAATTGTGAAATTGTTCCTTGGTATGGGAATGTGGTGTTTGCACGTCAAAGTTTAAAACTAGACTGAATTGTATGTTGTTTTAATTTTGACTACCTTTCTTTGTTGAGGAGACTTGGGTTAAATCCATCTGTAGCTGTTGTATTTGAGTGTCGGTGTGTGTGTTCGTTTGTGTGCATGTAATTCTCCTCCTTCTCTCTTGACGGTCGATCGGTACACTCATACAGCAGCAGGCAACAACAATAACGGCAAGAAGAACGGTGACGACGACGACAACAACAACACAACACCAATAGTGATGATGATGATGAGTACGGCCACTGCTGTAGCAAAGGCTCGGCTATCGTGCACACGAACATACTACCTTCGAGCAAACGACACCACCACTAACTAAAACAATAACAACAACAACATGCAATGATAATATTGTTGTGTGTGCAATGTTGTTAACTCCATCCACGACATGAAAAAACAAAATCTTATTGTTTCCGTTTTTATTGCTTTTTTGGAGTGTTGTTGGATGGCGGGCTGGCTGGCTGGCCATTGCCTTGGTTGTTGTTGTTGCTATTGTTCCATTTGTTCTTGGTGTTGCGGATGGTTTATTATTATGCTATTTATATGTGTTTTATACATACGTTGTTGTTGTCGCTGGTGGACAGTGGTGCTCCTCCACATAGAACAACAACATTAAATCTACACAGCCACACAAATAAAATAAACAAACCACCAAACAACTCAAAAGCGTGCATGCTCAAAATCGTCATTGTTAAAACGTCACGAGTTGTTGTTGTTAGCTCCCCCTCACACAAATGATAATGGTCGTCATTGTGGGTACTCCATGGCCGTTGTTGTTGTTGTTGGCGGTGGTGGTAATGTTCTCAGAGCAATTTCCTTCACACTCTCAGAGGGGAAGCACACTCACTCTTTATGTTTTTATCCAATAACCAGCATTTTACTCAACATTTCCCCTCCAAAACAAACATGTGTACATAGCAACAAAACTATGTACATACATAAGACAGAAAAAATTGTGGGGGTTCAAATAAAAATGTACATGTTCTTGCATGCCCACAAAAATATCGTTTGTACAATTTATAATATTCTTTATGGCCAGCAACCCATCAACAAGGTAGAAAAAGGAGAGAAAGAACGTGAGGTAACCTCTCTTTCTTGGCCCTTTTTTAAAACTACCTAATATTTAAATTTTTTCAAATTAGATAAATTTTGAATAATGCTACCTGCTATCCCCTTTTTAGTGTGTTGCCTGAACATGTGATTGCCAAGGTGGATCATATTTTATTTTATTGGAGTTGCATGTTTTATGGCCGCTACTAAAATCTCACACACACCAGTTGTCATTTTCCTTATTGACCTTTTTATTGTTGTTGGCAGCGCAAATCTGTGTCATATGTACTTATGCGATTTTTTATGACACATTATTAACAGATTAACGGGTAGATTTTTTGTGATCTTTCTAAGTTAATCCCAGGAGATTCTAGAAGGATCTGTAACATTTTGTCATGGCGCTGTCAATGAAATTGATGTTGAAAAATTGCCTCTGAATCTGAAATTTATTTTTTCTGATCAATGTTTAAGAAAATTGATTGATTGACATATTCTGATCCGTAATAATAATCTGAAAATTATTGGGCACCATTTTGAAATATATTTTATAAATGGGGAAATTCCAAATATCTTGTCTAGATTTCTGAAAATAATCCGAAAACCTTTCGCAACCTTTCGAATTCGACTCAATGGAGAAACATTATGCACTCGGTTGAATTAAAGTGAGATATCAAAGATTCAGACATTAAAAAAGTTACCGTTAGAAAGTTCAAAAATGAAAAGCTCATGTCACAGTATTTTAAGTGTACTGGGAAGCATGATGGAGGGTCAATAATGGTATTGGGCTGTTTTTATTTTTATGGAGTTAGATATTCTTTATACAAATGTGTTTGAAAACGCTATAGTTCCCTGAAGTTCCTACAATAAACTCAAACATACACCGAAACATGTCAAAGATTGGTTGTGGGAATCAAAATTAATGTTTTGTAATGACTAATCCTCAGATCTGCCGTAATGCAAAATAAAAACGTTCACTATAAGTTAATTTTCAAAAAATAAACGTCCTGTTATTTATTTTGCAATTTCAATTGCTTTAGTCTTGGCCACCAGTGTATTCCCTAAGCCTATGGTTTGCGGAGGTCTTCTGCCTTCTTCTATTAAGAGGTTTCGAATATAATGTTGTTAAAATCGGTTATTCAATTCGCTTTAAACCAAATGTACAATTTTATAAAATATTAACCCTTTGTGGGTGAGGTACCAGAAGAGGAGGGCCGACGGGCCTCAACTTGACATTTGTGCACATATTGATTCAAATCAGTCATTCAGTTCGTGTAATATTGAATGTATATACATTGAACAATTTGATCTTTTGTGGGGAGGAGGCAGAAGAAGCGGACGAATTAGTCCCATATTCGGATTTGATTTGGGCTTGGTGAAGATCACAGGTTGTACAAAGATAGTTTCAAATCGGATATTTGATAATATATAACCTCTGCATGCGTCAAAATATTAATTTGAGATGGCGGTCAATTAAACAGAAGGGACTGGTGATTACAATGGAAGTAAAAATTATCAGTAATTTGGAGATAATAATCAAAATTTCGCTTATAATTTTGTCCAAAAAAATTGAGTTTCAGAACATAGTGCCAGAGGAAATTTTAATGGTTGTAGCACCAATCGACGCCGTGATATGTTCTCTGTCCAGAATTTTGCGAAAGTTCATAAACGTAAGAGTTATTGTCGATAGTATATAAATAGTCATTGAAATTTGCCCCTAATGGACTAATACTAACACAGCACGCTGATGATAAAATTGGAAGATATTAGCCTGCTCTTTAACCAAATTAAGTGTATTTGGTATGTCCGCATTATGTAGCACATATTCTTACCAAAAATTATCGTTTTTGCTCCACTGGTTTTTTTGAGATATTGTCCGGGGATTTAAGGATTTTATGCATGTTTTCCAACCAAATTGGATATAATTCAAATTTAATTAAGATGTGCCATAGTTTTAAGACCATAATAAGAAAAACAATACGATTTCATGCCATCCTGATGCTAAATACTGATTCCAAATTTGTAATTAGTGGGCATAGCTCTACAAAATGTGTTCAAAAATAAATTGATTAATTAAATTATTAAAAAATAGACCGCCATTTTCGATCCACACTATTAAATTTCTACGTTTTTCTTGCAGAATCGTAATAAGCGCCCTTGAAATCCTTCTATGTGATATTTATTTATTTCATAAACCCACTTCCATAATTATGGCCAAAAAAATGGGATCTCTGGCCCAAAGTGCTCTCATTGAAAACATTTGTATAATAGGTCATAATATTTTCATATAATCTGTCATCCTGATGTTAAATACTGATTCCTCAGGTTTTGAAATAAAGACTATGGACTAAACGATCGGAGGGTACGTCGATTGAAATAAAGTTTCCTACTTTTTCACAATAAGGAAATATGCAAAGAGTAAATTCCACTTTAATGAATTAATTAAATATGACTTCCAATTAATAAATACGTCTTCGAATTACATACGCGGCATCCGAGGTCTTTAGATCTGTTTCCAATGACTATTGCATATTCCCAGATATGTTAATTTTTCATTGAAGGAAGAAAACTAAATAATTATACTCCCAAATATTATCAAAACGTTGAAGGATCGCTGTAATCATTTTATCAACCTTAAATAAAGAACCTGAAGATCCCGCAAAAATGTCATGATCAAAAAACGATCCCTGTGGTTTTTGATGGTATTTAGGGGATAACATTTGTCAACACCGCGTTTTTTTAAAGGGCACTCTTGTATCGATGACCAAGATTTGTTTGTAAATATTTTAAAATATTATCTTTCTATATCGTATATTTTATTTCGGTCGGACGTTATACGGAGAAGTTTCCAAGGAAGGAAAGGAATAATCCAATCGGTTCCAAATTTTGATACGTTTTCTGGGAGTGTATAGCTATCGTATGAACCAATCGGCGAAGAACTTCCTTATTTTTTAACTTAGTTCGAGGTTAAAAATAGGCGAACTTCTAAAAGGAATTTCAAAGGTCTGCCATTTTGTTAATTTTTGAGCGAAGTCAATAATCCCATTTCAACAAGAGCCAGACATGTACTCCTTGGTATTTCCGGATTCTAATGTTGCAGTGAGGAGTTATCATGCCCGCCATAAAAAATAACACTTTATCTTTAATAGCCAAAAACAACAACAAAATAACAACAATCAAATTTTGCAAATTATTTTTCTTCTCTTTTAAAACTTTAATTATATACCATATACCATTTACCAGCCCAATGCAAATCTTGAAAATATAAAATCGAGAATTGGGGAGGTCCCCTTAAACAAAATGTATTTAAATGCAGTGGTATAAATCAATAGTTGGTTTGCATGAAACAGAGGAATCCTTTTCGACGCATACTTTTAGTAGCAAATTAATAACATAAATTTATAAAAATCACCAAAAACCCTCACCGGAT